GCACAACTCTACCTCATTGCCGATCGTGAGCCTGATCACTCCATCATCAATCTTTCTCTGCAGATGTTGACCACTCCATCGATTACCTCCGAGGTTGTTGAACGTGGCAATTTTCTGACGAACCTTATGGCTATTCTCTACACCTTCTTGACCACCCGCCAGGTGGGCTATCCTTCAAATGTCGACCCCAAAGCGACACTAGCTTTCGAGCAAGGAGCTGTGACTAATCGTCGAATGTATCACTTCTTCCTCGATATGAAGTACCTACTGGGCTCCGAGTTTGTTCAAGAGAGGATTCGCGAAGAGCCACGTTATCTGCTACAGTTTCTAGACCTTGTAAAGCTCCATCAAGGTATCTGTCCAAACGTTCGTCAAGTAGGCGAGCATCTCGAATTTGAATCCGAGGCCTGGATTAGTGCTTCTCTAATTACCCGAGAAATCAACAAGCTGTGTAGACACTTTGCAGAGTCTTTCGCCTGGAGGCGCGACGAGGATCCAACAAACATCCAACGCGCTATACGTGCAGCCGCCAGGGTAGCCATCATTAATTCTCTAGGCGCTGAACGCAGACGTTTTGACCAGACCGAGCTCAAAGAAGAGACCAAGTTCAAGACGTCACCCGTCTTTGAATTCGACGCCGAAAGTTCTACCTTTTTTGGTCCGTCCTACAAGATTGTCGATTATGTTGTCGCGGCACAGCCAATGAGCTTCCATCACGCCCTCCATTACACTCTGTCCTGGCTTATCGATCGAGCACGAAGCATGGATCGAGAGGATATCAAGCGGTTACTCTTGTTTTCTCCCAATGAACTACAAATGGACCTTGCTCTATCCATTCCTGTGCATCAACCCGAAGATTATTTACTGGCATTGTTCGACTTTCCGCTCCGGGTCTGCTCATGGCTAGCTCAGATGCGTGCAGGCATTTGGGTCCGAAACGGCATCACTCTACGACATCAGATGACACAGTATCGCAGTGTATCACAGAGAGACGTTTCGCACCAGCGAGACATCTTCCTCTTACAGTCCGCTCTCGTGTTATGCGATCCGTCAATCTTCCTAGCGTCAATGATTGACCGATTCGGATTGAACGGCTGGATGACTGGCAAGTACGAAGCTAGCCAACATGGATTCGAAGATAGTCAGGCTATTGATGTGGTTGAAGACTTTGTGCACTTACTGATCATCATTCTCAGTGAGCGCACGTCATTGATCCCCGCGGAGGATAACGACGAATCTCAACTGGCATCAATGCGCAAAGACATCGCTCATGTGCTGTGCTTCAAGCCACTTTCTTTCTCTGACATGACTGCACGCCTGTCAGACCGAATTCAAAACATGGACGAGTTCCCTGCTGTCTTGTCCGAGATGACCAAATTCCGTGCTCCGGAGGGCTTGTCCGACAGCGGGACGTTTGAATTGAAGGAACAGTACATTAATCTTGTAGATCCTTATCTTCATCAATACAATCGCAACCAAAGGGAGGAAGCAGAGAACATATACAAGACCTACATGGCCAAGAAAACCGGAAAGCAAGCTAGCGACATCGTCTATGAGCCGAAGCTCCGCCAAATCCCTTCAGGCCTGTTCCAAGATTTGTCGGCATTCACCCGAACGCCGCTCTTTACTCAAGTGATATACTACTTGCTTGGCTATGGTTTGAGAGCAACAGCAGCGACACCAGGCATTCCAGCCACCCGTGTCGAAACCTACATCCAATTTGTCCTACAACTTCTCCTCGTGGCTATTCTTGAGGACAAAACAGGGGAGCATGGATGGTCCGAGAAGACACCTGATTCTTTTGTCACTTCAGTCTTGACTAGAAACGCAAACATAGGCATATCAGGCCATCCGACTGTTCTATCGATCTTGAAGACCTTACAAGATGCCGAAGCTTTCAAATCATGTGAACCGAAAATAAGTCTGATCCTTCATAGGCTCAAGCAACGCCAACAAGACTCCTTCATTATCGCAGCGGCAGCAATCAACATGCCGGCTGATAGGATGGATACTGCCTCGCCTGCACCGCAAGATAAAGAGCACAAGGAGCTCAAGAAGAAGCAGGCACTTGATCGACAGGCAAAGGTTATGGCAGCCTTCAAAGAACAACAGGGAAAGTTCCTGGCTAACCAGGAGTTTGACTGGGGCGAAGATGACTTCAGCGATCTAGAAGACGAGACGGGTGGACTGGTTGAACAGGAAAAGACACTCAAATATCCCTCGGGCACGTGTATTTTGTGTCAGGAAGATTGCAACGAACAAAGGCTATATGGTTCGTTCGGATACATTTCCGAAAGCAGGATCATGCGGCAAACTCCTCTGCACGATGAGGAGTGGGTGGACGAAGTCGTACAAACGCCGAGCAGTCTTGATCGGTCAGCTGAAGATATGCGACCCTTCGGCGTGGCTGGAAGGAACCGTCGCACCGTGGAGAAGGTCACCGCATCAGGCGAGCGCGTCACCAGTGAACGTCAAGAATTGGGAAAAGGATTCCCTCCTCTTTCTGTGACGCCTGGTCCGGTCACTACTGGATGCGGACACATTATGCATTTTGCATGCTTTGAGGTTTACCTGAATGCTACCCAGAGACGCCACGTCAGTCAAATTGCGCGAAATCACCCTGAGCGGCCCGAGTTGAAGGAATTCATGTGTCCACTCTGCAAAGCTCTTGGAAACATCTTCTTGCCGATCATTTGGAAAGCAAAGAAGGTCTCTAGCACGGGTGTTCTTGAAACAAAACAACCTTTCGAGGAGTGGCTGGAATCGCAATTAGTTGCGACCCACAAGAGTCTTGAAAAAGGTCTAAAGGCCCCTGCGGACATATCTCATGATCAGAAGATGCTTTATGAATATGCGGAACGAGATTTTATCCAGCCTATATCTAGTCGCTTGCCCGATCTGCTCAAGCCATCGCTACCTTCAACTGGCCTTGCTCTATCCCAACCAGGGCAGCTCGCACCTCGGTTCCAGGTCCCGGCGTTCTTAGGTGTACAGCCTCCGGAGGTCGCCGAAGCTGGATTAGGGTCCTCTCAGAACAGCCCAGCTTTGACGCAAGATGTTCCAATGGGAGAACTGATCAAGATATACCATAGGTTGAGAGAGACCTTGAAGGTCAACAACGTTCACTCCTCGTTTGCGTATGCGCATACACCCGCCATGACGAACGATTTCACACATACAGATGCGCTTGCTCAGGCTCTTGGTTATTCTATTACTGCCGCCGAGATCGCGCAGCGAGGTGTGCAATCTGAGTCGGTGCGTGGTACTCTGATCGATAAGATCTCTCCACAAGCCGTGACCCATCTCCGCGTGTTTTCTGAGACGGTCTCTTCGTACATTGCCATCGGAAGCTTGCGAGGCCAGGGCCCAAATAAGACTATGGATGAGTTTTCAGAGACCCAGCGCCGTCAGTTCCGCCAGCTATTAGTTGGACATCCAGGTATCTCTGATCCAGAAGTGTTGAGCTTCGATCTGAAAGGCATCGCACCACTACTGTGCCAAGACCCGTTCATCTTCCTCTCAGAATGCGCTGTTGGGGTTGTGCCAGCCACCAATCTCGACATCCATCACATCATGCGACTCTGTTACCTTGCTGAGATCGTACGGGTAGTCTTCGTCTTCGCGCTCGGTGTGAAGAACCAGTCGGCTGAGGATATGTCGGATCGAGAACTCCTCTTTCCCCATCCGGAACAGTTCATCAACACAGATGTAGCCGCTACGGGCATGTCTGAAGAACAGATGAGCAATTTACTCTGCTTCGTCTGCGTGATCTCCAACGTCACTAGCCAGGGCGACTCTCCCGCCTCATTTGACATCAACAACCTGCCCATTCCAGATCGTTTCAAGGACCCCAACTTCCTTTACTTCATACATACTATGGTCTCGACGTACGCTCTACCATTCGTCCGCAAAGCCGCTATCCTCATGCACGTGCGATACGGTGTCGACCTTCCACATGTTGCCGCCGAACGCGCTGACGAACCTGAACTCGCGCGCCTTTCTTCGATCCTTCGGCTGCCATCACTCTCCGAAATCTTCGCATCCTTCGCAGCGCCTACATCGGCAGGCAACACAACACGCTCTATCGTCGGAGGCTGGATCCGACATCTCCTCTGGGTAAGCAAAATTTGTGCACGAACTGTATATGAGGCAAACACTGACTATATGCACCAATTTCTAGGCACAAGCAGGCAATAATCCACTCAAACCGACCGTATCACTGTCGCATCCAGCAATCTTTGAACTTGTCGGCCTACCAAAGAACTATGATACCCTGACTGATGAGGCAATACGTCGCCGCTGCCCGACAACAGGCAAGGAATTGACCGACCCTGCGCTCTGTCTCTTCTGCGGTGAGATCATGTGTAGTCAAGCCGTATGCTGCATGACCAACAAGAATCGTGGAGGATGCAATCAACACCTAACTAAGTACGTCATTTTATCCCATCTCCACCAGAAGACAGCCCATTGTGCGGGTTCTCAGTGTCTACACGCATAGCGCGTGAAGCTGTAAAAGTCAACGAATAGCATCACGCTCAGCCATGGCTATTCTCCTATGTTATGTAGGACTCCATACTGACAGTTTCCACAGATGCGGCGGGCAGATTGGCCTCTTTATACATATCCGCAAATGCATGATTCTCTTCCTCAACCTTGACCACGGTACCTGGCATGTCGCTCCTTACCTCGATAAGCATGGTGAGGTCGACCCAGCGTTACGCCGCCATCACCAACTGTTTCTGAACCAGAAGCGGTACGATGCGCTGCTAAGGAAAGTCTGGCTTGAGGGCGGTGTGCAAAGTCTCATTGCTAGGAGGCTGGAGGGTGACGTGAATAATGGAGGGTGGGAGAGTTTGTAGATTTGGATTCTTGCGAGAAGCCGAATCACACTTCACGTGGGTGGGAGTTTGTCCTTTTCATGATTGTATGAATAGCTAGTGGGCGTTATGGAAACCGACACTTGAAGAATTGACGAGATCTTTTGTATGTTACACACTATTTTATACATGATGGTGCTGCAATAAGACTTTCGCACGTTTGTTATGATCGTGTTCGGTATGCTCATCGCCTATGCGTGAATGCTCGTCACCTATGCGTGAATGCTCGTCATTGTCTTCACTCGCTGGATCTCTTTGTTCCAAAGATATAGTACCCTCGCCATTTTCTGCAGAAGCTGTTGCTGCGGAAGTACCACCCGCTTCCGAATTCACTTCTTCGACAAGTGGTATGTCTTCTAACGTGATCTGTTCCGAGTGGGCTCCGGACCTTTGTGTATCCGCGGCTCCCCCCTGCGACTCGGTGTCCCTCCAAGCTCTCTTCTCCAGTGGAAGCATCCTTCTAGCAAGCGTACTGTTCGTTCTCTTCTCTGCGCTCTTGATACCTAGTCTCTGCGCAATGATATCTCTCCACGTAGCGAGCTTCTGTAGACCATTAACAAACATTTCCATGCCATATACTAGCGACATCTCTTTTCCTAGTTCAGCTCTTCTTGCTTGATTGTGTTCCTTAATTATGGCATCTAGGAGCCCCAGAATATCTGTATCAAATTCAATGGCATTGTCATCCATTTCGGTGAGCAGCGTATTGATGGCGGTGTAAGAGGATTGCTGAATCCATGCTGCGCGTATGAGATGTTTGTATAGCGTTGTCGTAGCGCCGAGAGCGTGGGAAGAGCGACCTAGTCTCTTGATCGTGGGTAGGATGGAGAAGGGTAAGGGTGAAGACGGGAAGTCGTTACGAAGAGTCGAGATGGCGGTTATGAGATGATGTGGATAGTTCTGGAAGAGAATGCGCGCTTCGGTGGAGGGAGGGCCGGGTTTGGGGCCACCCTTCGGTTTGGGGGCTGATCCTTTGACGCCTCCGTTGCTGGCGTTATCGAGGTCTAGCTCACGCACTTTGTTGAAGACTTCGCGCTCGAGGGTTTGCCAGAGGGCGCGATCGGTAGAGGCGTTGCGTATGAGTGCATCGATACGTTCTCGTTCGGCTAGGCGCATTTCCTTGAATTTTGCCGCGTCCACATTGGTACCTTTCCTCTTGCCAACCCGCACCTTGGCCAACTCAGCGTGTGGGATGTTTTCCTTTGCCGGCTGAGGCCTCGTCTTGGACCTTTGGAGGACTGTACGCGATGCGCGAGTGCGCGGTTCGCCTTTCAAGACTTGGTCGAAGACCTCGTCCAGAGACGGCTTGGAATTATCTTCATCGTCTTCATAGTACTCGTCTGCTATCTGATCAAGTTCTACGACATGATCCTTCTCCTTCTGCTGACGCCCTTCAGTATTGAATTTTTTGTACAACTTCTGGAACGCGGCTCGTTCGGTATTCGTTATAGTGGTCTTCCGGGGAGGTTCTTGGTCGATAGCAGGGGGCAGATTTTCATGTTCGAAGGGAACGTCTTCTGTGTCGTACGGGCGCGATGGTGAGGTGATGTTGCGGCGAGCAATTGATCGCGTGGCGGCCTGCCATTGCTGGATCGTCGGTGTTTGGTAAAGAAACGGAAGGAGCGTCTTAGTTGCTGGAAGGCGAGAGCGTGACAATGCTCTGGCTGAATTGGAGCATATAGACATGGACGAAATGGCCGCACAACCGTTGCAAGCCGCAGACAACACGAAAATGACCACGAACACACGATGATGCAGCCCGCCGTCCAAGTCCCAAATCTTTCGAGATCGCCGCGGCCTAGTGGTGGTCTGAGCTCAGCTTACCGCATTAGGCAACTTACAAAATCCATCGAAAATCGTGGCACGCAGTGTGAAAGCAACGAAACCTCAAAGTATTGACAACAATAAGATGAATGCTCATTGGCGGAGCTCAACATCCTACTGCATCGGGCAGGAAATGAGTTCCGTGGATTGCAGCACGTGCGAAGGCCACCCAAATCCTAAGCCAAAGAGGGATACTTCATTGGTTCAACCCCCAACACTCCGCTTCCGGTAAGCAAAAAAAAAAAAGAATCATCGATCACAGCAGCAGGCGGCCCATTGCTGGGAACTGGCACCAGATGAGCGTGCCAGTGTGGCTGAGCTCGATATGCCGTATAGGGTAAGAGTTTAGAAACCCGTCAAAGGCAGCAGGATTAGGAATCTCAGTGTCCACTGCCGAGCGACGAAGACCAGCATACCGTATCTGGCAAGTCGCGGAAATCCCGTCGAAAGCGGTGATTACTGGTAACCAATGCCTAAGGGACAACGCTCACTGGCGGAACTTTGAGCTGAGTGACAAGGCACAATAAGACCCACAAACCTGCTCTTTTTGTGAATCTGCAATGAATAGAGGAGATTGCGCCCCACCCATTCAGTACACACTCGGTGCTGTCTATGAGCCGCTGTGAAAGTCCTCGTGCCAGCGATCGTTAGTGTCGTTGTACTTTTGCGCAATCTGTGGGCAGCCAGATATGTAGTGTTATCTCAAAAACCTTCCTTCTTCCGTGTCTGACCTATAAGATGTGCTAGTATCAGCGATCACTTGTTGCGTATTACTTTGTCGTCTGCAGTAATTCTATAGAATTGCATATAGCGCGCAGAAGTCTAAGTGAACATGAACAAACCTCAGAAGAAATTCACTCCGCTATGCGAAAGGCGATTGGCCAGATCAACAAGTCCAACAAAAGAAAATAACAACGACCCACGTTTCCAAAACGATCTCATGACGTCGTAGGGGGTGCCCGTGTTGGCAATCCTTTACCGATGCGACCAATCTGCTCCGAGTAGAAAGCACTCTCAGCTCCAGCCCCTATGGCTTTGATTGGAATCTTGCTGACCAACCAACTCGGCTTCACAGCGTCCAGCCTCAGGACTACATCACCACCCGCGACCTCCTCTTTCAACAGTTTGTTTGCCCAGTTCGCATCCACAGCAGCCGGTCGCGCCACACCGATCAAGTCACAGGCATTCTCCTCGAGCGCTGCGTGCATACCAGACAAACTGCGGAAACCACCTGTGACCATCAGGACCACATCAGGGAACCTCTGCCTGACTATCCTCGCGAAATCAAGGAAAAAGGCTTCACGCTTTGCCGTGCGTTCTGAGACTGGCTTCTCACCCGGCGCAGGCTCGTCACCCTTCATCATCCTTGGGTTCTCATACGATCCACCGCTAATCTCGAGGAAATCAATGCCGGTGGCCCTGAGGTGTTCGATTTGTTGCATGAGCTCTTCGATATCGCTCTTCTGTGCAACGTCCGCCGAGTTGAGCTTGATGCCGACGGTGAAAGTAGACGGAACGACAGCGCGGATTGCTTTGATAATGTCGAGAACGATACGAATGCGGTTGAATGCCGAACCGCCATAATCGTCTGTACGTTTGTTGGTGTTTGGGGCCATGAAGATGCTCAGCAGATATCCATGTGCAGCGTGTAGTGTAGTTCTACGCCATCGAACCCGTTCTCGCTCAGGAACTTGGCTGCTTCGGCATGCTTCGTCACGACATCTTCGATCTCTGCAACTGTCATCTCTCGCGGAGTACCGAAGAGGATTTTTTGTGCAGTACGTGCCCAGATGTTGTCCTCGAACTTCAATGGAATAGGGCTGGGTGCAATATTCTTCTCGAAAAGACCTTTGCTACCAGCTCCAAGAGGGCTTTGGCGGCCGGGGTGATTTAGTTGAACGATAGCTGGGGCACCTTCGACACGGCATGCCTCTGCGTATCTGCGCCATTGCGCAATGACTTTTGGATCAGTAGTGGGGTTGATTGAAACGTCGAGGGCGTTTCCAAGCCAGCGCTCATCGATCATCACATTGCCTTTAAGAGTAAGTATTGAAACCGGTCATTTGGTAGAGGTAAGTCTGTACCTGTTATAATACCACCCCATCCTCCTTTTCCCCATGCTTTGTAAGCAGACAGGAGTGGGTCTGTTGGATCGTGAGACTTTGACATGTTCTCTGCCATCGCTGCCTGTGAAAGTGTCAGAAACATGATCGCACTGCGCTTGATTTGTTGTTACTGACCTTGAGTAGCCGGTTCTTGAAGACCAGACCGGATGGCAATGTTACCGGATCACGTAGTTGGCGGCTATTCTGCATCTTGGATGTGTATATGGGAGACTGTCAGAAGGCGTGTTGCATAAACTTGAGTTTTCGTCTGATGTTGGTGTTGAGTGATGTGATCTCTGAATTCGACTTTGATCTGGGTATCTTGGTAACTCCAATATTGGTTCTTGTACTTTTTTGTAGTTATGCCTATAATGTTGGTGTCGGTGTTGAAGGTGATATTATTCTTTACTTTCGAGCACCTGTAGACTAATATACAAATACATCCCTCTACTCTAAGCTGCGGTATAACATACAGCCCTTCGGGATGAAGTTCAAAGGGCTTACTGATCGCGGACGACTTTCGGCGGGAGGACCTGGGCTAATTTCAAAGTATAGGAAACGAATTGCTAGGGCGCCTTGGTCCACTAAAAAGTAGGCGACGTTTCGGTCCGATACTCAAGGAAAGCTCGAGACTCGACGAGCTCGGGACATTTTGAGAGAATTGGCCGTACGCTGACGCGACCTTCTTTTTCGGCATGTTCTTTTCTGGCTCGACGGCTGATGAGTGTGATTTCTTGCGACTTGATCTGGCTGCCATGTGACTGATGGAAGGCGAAGTTCGCACGGCTTTGACAGGCGGACGAGATCCGTGCTAGGGAAAACCAGTACTTGATCGGAGCAATGTTCCTTCGGTGGATTACTCAACACAGGAAAACAGAGACGGCGACTACAAACTCAAACAACACGACACAAAAAAGACTAGAGCTGTCTTGTCAAATTAGCCATCAACAAAGACTGATGCGATCCCGACCTAGGAAGGGTAGCAAAAAAATTAGGAACCAGAGCGAAGGTGCCTGAACAGCGCTGAGTAAGGAGAAGCTAGTCGGTCTGGAGCTGTCGCCCTTCTTAAAGCAGGCATGCGCCTCGCCTAGCTGTCCAAGGTATGGTATCACCACAACCACCGCCAACGGAGAACACGCAAATGATCAGTTACGGGTCATGGTTCATGGAGAGCGAATGCGCAGCTGAGGTCGCAAGTAGTACGAGCATCATAATGCCAATGCCTGGATAATATCAGAAGAGAGAGCGGGAGTTTTGGAGGCTGCGCTTCAACAGGCTTCGGCGCCTTCTATGTACCAGCACCTCAGCTGGACAGCCACGTCTAACAACCAGCTCGGCTTCCGACGCCACCAGTTCCCTTACTCCGCGTCGGCACACTACCCACATGCACACCTGTACCACAGCTTACAACACCGAGTTGTTGCTGACGCCATGAGAAGACATGCATCAACGCTACCCAGATGCCTGCACAAGGGACTCTACGTTCTACTATATAGTTCAGATATGCTTGTACGCCATTGCTCGATCAGTATAACGGTATGAATGCATCTAGCAGCAATTCGATGTTGCAGTTGGTACAATGCTGGCCAGAACCCTCAGCTCGTTCAGCCTCACGCCCCCTTACTCATTTGTGGATCACCAATCGGTGTAAGATAAGCGGGACCATCCTACCAACAATATACTCAGCTTACACAGGATCTCAATATAATGGCTTTCTTCTCACCTACAGAGACAGGCTGCAGTAAGCTAAGCTCACGCAACTACTTACATCTCCATTCGAAGCTGAATATGATGGTAGGTATTAATGCCGCAAGGCTGTTGTCTTTAGATTCCTCTCCAACACCTGCTACGCGCTTCGCAAACATGTTCACAAATCGCATTAGAAACGACAATCGGATGAAGGAATATGATGCGATGCAACTGGGATTTACTCGATCTACAGCGCCGACGTCTTCGTTCAACCGTCTACCCAGCGAAATCGTCCTGGACATTTGCAACCGCTTATCCCCATCTGAGCTCTGGTTCAATGCGCGCCCTATTTCCCGTCAATTCTATAGCTGCGCTAATGAGGTGCTACTACGGAAATGCTTCTATCAAGAACAGGTCCGCTTTTCTTGGTGCTGTTTTTGGTGCAGCCTTGGACGCTCCCCCTTGGATGCCGCAACGAGGACCATCGCTTCACTGTTTGGGGACGCGAGGAAGCTGCGCATACAGTGTATCAGCGACCAAGCTTTGCTCGCTAAGCTGGCCTTTGGGGAACTGTGCAGCGCGGTTGTGAGGGCAGAGCAAAAGATCTATGTGTCTATTGGTAATGGAAGCGATGAGGTTGCGATGACTGCTGTGGAATGGCAGAGACGCATGGAATGTCTGCCCAAGAATCTACAAGAGCGCCGGTATGACTTCCTGGTATTCTATTTTGCTCGACTGGGGAGGAAAGCAAAGACTTGGCATATCGCAGCAGGCCTTTCATCTGTTGTGCATGCGCTGGGCTTCATTGTGGTGGGTGTGGTCATTACGGTCGTCATGGCCGTTGCCCTGTTTGTTTTCTGCATCGTCTGGGAAACGGTGAAAGTGGTCAAGAGCTTTTGGGCATTCCTGGATGGACTGATAGATATGTGCTTGCCGGATCGATTCATGCGAGACTAATCAACACAACGACGATCCGATTACGCGACCATGTAAAAGAGCTCAAGCACTTCTTGGTCTATTTACTCGACTATAGCTTCTAAACACCAAGTGATTGAGTGTTGGAGTGGTTGAGAGGGGATCTGGCTGGCTAGATGACCAGGAACATGGTACTGCTGCCCCGTTCCGAGCAACCAACCCACGGCTCGTCGCAACAGGCGTCAGCGTTCTCCAGAGACCCAGTTGGACAAGGCAGCGCAGAAACATCATTATCGGCCCCTCTCGCAGAGCGGATCAGGACAGCGTTGCTATGAGAACATTGGTTGTTGATGATTGAGCCGTTTATTTGGCCTCGAGAGCATCCTCCACGAATATTCTCACAAGCGGCCACGTTCTACAATTTCGAACCAACGCCTTACCTAAGACGACCCTGCGAATCAGTATTGTCAGCCTTTACCTCAACCATGGCCGTGAATAAGCGCGAATCTCGGCTTCGTCGCTGGGCGAGGAAACTCGGCGGCTGTATGCGAAACCACCATCCGCATCGCAAGTACAAATCTGCTAGTTATGTAGATATGGAGAAAACGCTTCCATCACCTGTACACCACATCGACTTCCAGCACACGCAACGCAATGGGCTCATCGGTCGAAGAGAACAACCTCCGAAGAACGAAATCAATAGGGGCTCCAGAACATGGGATGCACACCCTAAACGGGCTTTGCCTTCGCCAGGAAGACTCAGAGTAGATACGCTGCGAGACCATCCGGTTGACGAGACGATTCGAATAGTAAACCCGAGCGTAAGCTCGCTTGTGGCAGGACGACATGATACTCAGACACCAAGGTTTGCCGGAAAGGTGTCCAAGCAAGCTCTCAGCGAGCCACAGACCCATGTGGCAAATGAGCGGTTCCAGCTCCAGGGTCCCCCCACGGTTCTGACATGGCGAGAGTCATTTGAGATACAGCGGGTTTTGAGACGAGAATCGCCTCAACCTCCCTCTGACAGATATGACTCTGCAGTAGACGTGACCATTCGACCCTTAAACGCTCGCAAACATCAAGCCCAGAAGCCATACTGTCCTTCTGGGCTGGGAAAATCGGCCGCAGTGCCTGTCCAGCCCAAACCGACAAACGATGTCCGGACTTACTACCGACCGTCAGGCCATTCTATAGCCACCATATCTACAAAAGAGAAGGAGGCGATTCGAGATTGGAAGCACGACTGGGACAAGCCTCTTCAGCACCGCGCTGGAGGCTCGAAGGCCAACTGGAAGACAGCCTCAGAGCGGCTTCTGCTGCGAAACAAAGACAGCATACGACGTTTGGATGCCGAAAGAGCGATAATGGAGCAGATGGCTGCGAGGATGGAACTGGAGAAGAGGCAACAACCCCAGATGAGAAGCATTCAGAGCATTGAAGAAATGGCCGAAGAAGATAAGAGAGCGGACGAGGAATGGAATGGTAAGTCTAACACGGCCACGTCAGACTGGTTCAACTAGTGTAAGGAATGATGATGCTAACCTCGTGTGTGTTCCAGGTATTGCAACCCAACTTGCCTCTGATGCGCAGAGCCCTGGTGTCCAGGAAGTCAAGTCCATCTCATTCCGCCACCAACGACATCCAATTGCAAGTGGTCGGCGATAGACAGCTCCGGATCACGGGAGGCAGCCACACAACTCGCGAGAAGCTACAAACCCCACCCAAACTTGTTGACAAAGAACAACAACCGACTCCAAGGTCAACAAGAGTACTGCAGGCACACAGGGCATTGGTATGGTCAAAGGGCCGCACTCGACTGGATCGGACATGGCAATGTAAAGTTTTACATGGCGGTCAAGAAGGCAGCTAACTCTGCCAAGCAGATTGAGGGATCGGAGAAGTGGTGTGGGAACTCTTGGTATCATGCGTTGTTGAAGGGAGTTTGCGAGCGATTGTTACAATCTGTGCGATCCTTATGCGCACGTACATTGTCGGTCCATACACAACTCCAATGCTTTTTTGGTCTCGTGAATAGTAATCAATTACGAGATAACGGTGTGTTGAAGCTCGTTTTCTTTGGAGAGAATGTGTCCACGCTAGCTCTGGTATGACCGAATATTCCAAAAAGAAAACATGCATGCGGCTTTTCCTTACTTGCCGGCCTCAAGAGGCCCTGCCTTAGTCCGCGGAGGGCGACCGAAGAGAAGGACCACGCGATCTGTTACCATGGTACGGTGAGGAGTAGTCGGGCACGTACCTGGGCGTGGCACCTAAACAGGGTATCGTAATTGTTGTGTTTTAAGGAGAGTTTGGTCGCCCGCTGGAAGAAGCAAAACCTGCATGGCATTATCTGCACCGCATCGAGATTTATGGCGTGTTGGCCATCTTCAAAGCCAACATCGCCTCTCTTATGCGAACCTTCACATCCAGTTTCAGCATGCTCTGCCATTCACTCTTGAAGACTTTCAGCTCTAATGGAGCCGACCACGAATTTTCAGATCATTTTTGCAACATGTGCCGACGCACCACGGAGTCAACCCCGTCACGGAACTCCAATGCTTGCGGATCAGGAACGGCAACATCATATGGAAGTCCAATGTGTCATCTGCCTCACACGGTTGTGAACTCGAATCTTGGTTCTCGACATGATACTTTTCGACTACAATTCAACCGCTTCTTGGTCGAGGATCCATCCATTGCAGTTTTTTCGGTCAGACAAGAAGCACCCATCTCTGGTGTTTGGCGGGATGAGGACCGCAGAGGCTGCTACGGGCTCAGTCTGGCATATGGGTGGGCGCAAATCTTTGCCGCGCCGCGTTCTCGATGCAACGTGACAATGAGTGTTGGACGTCACTGGACACTTGGAGTGTCGAGCGAGGCGATCCGGTATTGGAGCGTTCAAGACGGTGTCATACTGGTGGACTGGGGTCAGCTCTACGAAAATTACTTTAAGCAAGTGGAAAAGACGAAGGACCGGCAAAGACCCGGAAGATTCCCAGGACGGAGTCGTGGACATGATGAAGAGACTCTGCCCAACCGGCCTAGGGAACGGGTAACACGAGTCCGTTCCGATCCTGCGACAGCGCGATCAACAGCTCACGAGATTGGTGCACGTTTCAGCAACGGTTTAAGGGTTGTGCGAGATGCAATTAGAAGTCGTGTTGGTGAAGGAGGATCGAAGACATCAGGGTCGGAGAGAATCGCGCTTGCGCGTGTTCCCATACTGTGGACAAACCCAAGTTATCAAAGGCTACGATAACGTATAATTGAGCGCCGGTAGATGTAATAGAGTTCAGGAATGAGAATGTCGTTGATGTTGTCGCGAGATTGATGACGTCTGTGTAAACTCAGACGCGTGACGCGTGAACGTCGTCCCGTTTTAGCGACAAAAAAAGTACAAACCCCGCTGCTGCCCCGCCGAGCATTTCACAACACTTCACTACCAAATTCGTTTTCCCAAAGTCGCCAATATGTCAGTCTGTGTAATCTGCGAAAAGCCCTTGGAGGTAGAAATCGAGCGTGACGAGGACGAAGAATATGAGGGCGGAGCGTCGTCGTCTGGCAAAGGCCCTGCGGCGGCACCAGAAACATACCCCGACGACGTCCAATTAACCTGTGGATGCCACTTCCACTGGTATGCAGCTTTCCTTCCAGTCAATCGCGCGCTGTCACTGACATGCATTGTATAGGGATTGTCTTCTCTCCGCCTACGAAATAACTTCGTGTCCACACTGCGGCAAAGAAATCTCCACCACAGGCGACGGCACACAAAAGGTTCTCTGCAGACTCAACAACGAAGGCGGAATCCAAGAGAACCTCGATATCTTGCCCCTTCTTACCGAGGAGTCATACCTAAAAGCCTATCCCGAAGACAGGAAAGCACGCGCATTCCTCGAGTTCTGTCGCGAAGGTGACTACAAAGCTGTGGTCGATCTTCTGCTCGACGATTCGGAGGACGACGATGAGGATGAAGAGGGCGACGTCGAAATGAGCACCACAGACAATGCAGAGAAGGAGGTGGGTATCGATAGGATGTTGAGGTATCAAGATCCGATTGGGGATATGCAGTCGGGTCTACATGCGGCGGTACATGCGCAGAGTAGGGAAGTGGCTTGGTTGTTACTGCTTCTCGCGAGTAACTACCCGTTGTTGGACTTCCCCACGCAGGTCTTCCAGGAGGCAGAAGCTATGGGCATCATGAGGGGGCTTACAGAGGACAAGGTCGACATTCGGAGTTTGAGGGATGCGAATGGCAGGACTGCGGAAGACATCGCAAAGGAGATTGGTGGGGTGTGGGTAGGATGGACCGACAACAACCGGTTGGCGATTTGAGGTTCATGACAGGGCGTACAACCTACAAGCGGTAGTATAATCTTGGTTCTTATATGGAGGATTACATCTTTCTGAAGAATGAGCGCACAGAAAAGCCCATGGAGACGTCGAGAAGCAGTTGGCCGGCCTGCCTCACCAAATCCAACTCATACGACATTCAGGTGCTCAAAAAGAGAAAGCGGCAGATTTGAGAGACGCGTCTATTTAGCCATACAGGCTCGTCCAATCTCATCTGCTAGGGCATGTTCACCTTTTTATGTTTGCGACCAAGCCCAACAGCATTTCATACAAAAGGGAGAGAATTACACGGTCTGCACGTCATTCCATGCGTACTTTTCATGACACATTCAGATTCACAAGAAGAATCATCCTTGATGCTCATTCGAAGCTACCGCCACCACCACAACAACAACAAAAAGAATGCGCTGGAGACGTTTGCTAGTCCACGCAAAGGTGCAAAAAGAATGGTTCGAAGAATCCCGAGCAAGCTCAGGCACGTTGTCCCCTTCGTGGATCGAACACGATACCTCCAGATTTAGTGACTGAGACTTCAGTCTGGCGCTCTCCCAATTGAGCTAAGGAGACGGTTGTGGGATTTGATGGAAAGACTTCATCTTGGGCCGGTTATGATCTTCGCAATTTCCCCAGTCACCGCAGCTGCCTGAGCACTCATCGAAAAGGGGAAGTTCAAGGTGTCGCAGCGTCCTGAAAATCTTCTCCAAGAGTAGAGTGTGTTGGTGGGGTGAAAGTGGGGTTGGTTTTGAGGGCTAGACTCTGCCAGACTTGAGGGCATGGCACTTAACATACCAGAACAGGCACTTAGAAAGTGGGGGCATCGAATCCCTGTTTTGCTACAAGTAACGATTGTCTTCCAGTCTATTGTAGTGGTTCAGTGAATGTGCGCCTGCAATCAATAGTCGCAGGTTGAAGATGCACATTACGGGCTTTTGTCAATAGGTGTAAAATAACTTCCAACTGATTCGGAAGATATATATTTGTTGCAGAATAGATCGGGGTGTAACGTCGACCCCATCTCGCATTGAAATGCAAGGTTGCCATGGTACTGGAGAGCTTGCGAGTACACTATTGTTCCATCTGTCATCTTTCCTCTGAATGACTTGGTCAACATCTCTGCAATATAGATTATTATTTTTCTAATGCATCCGTCTCAGTCGTCCTCTTGCAGGTGAGTCTCACGACTTGCGTGTACTCTTAGGCTCGTGGATTTTGACGTGTTCGGTACTAGAGTGCACTTTTGTTAGTCCGCAGAATAGATAATCACGCCTCATAAATGAATATGAGCGGTACAAGTATGTGAGTATCCCAGAGTCGGATTGTCAATATATCACCCATCTACGCCTGTGTATCATGTACTATCAAGTCGCCCTGAATCGCCATCGCCGTCACCAACTCCTCACTCCTCGCTCGTGGTATCTCATGCTCATGTAAATAGCAAACTTCGTCGTATCGGCCGTTCTCCTTCTTCGCTTTTTGATCCGCACGTTCGCTCGAAGGTTGGATGACTTATTTTACAACACCCTCGTCTTCGTTGAAGCAGACAGCAAAGTCCTTGCTGTGCTTGTTGGTTGCGTGGTCGGTAAGCATCTTACGGCTCGTGGTGCCCTGGAATGTCTGGAAGCAGGTCTTGCACTTGATGGTCTGGGCGGCAGCGTTCTAGCGTTACGTTAGCAACTTGACTTGTAACCGTCGGTTGAATGTGAGGTCGCAAAGTTGCAAGATCGCGCAAACAGGTGGGGTTACGTACGGCTTTCAGTTGGCTCTTTGCTTCCTTTGGGCCGGCATCGCCTGTAGTATTGGAGCACAAAATTAGTGTCTGTCTCACATGTCGTTGGCACACACTGGAATGCTAACCCTTCCTGTCGCGTTTCTGCTGTGCTCTGGCAAGAATGTTAGCAAATGTTCGCGCGCATGAAGGCACACGTGGAATCGCTTACTTGGCTCCGTTACCCATCTTGTAGTTTGCTGGTAATCAGTTGCTGAGTGTGAGCGGAGATGTGTATGTCGAAAGCGATCAAAGTTTTTGGTTTGCTTGAGTGAAGGCTGACGGTCCTGAGAGATTATTTGCGGCGGCGGGGAGGGTCCAGGCCGTTGGTTGGAAAGGCGGTGTTGGCATCTCCGGCGTTAAGCGACAAAGGGTTAGCTTTCCGCGCAATCATGTGAATGAATCTTCCACGCCACTAAAGTCTTATCAACAACAACCCAGCGATGGAACCATTGTCGCTCGCGTCAATCAATTCAGAGCATGTCCGCGCTGATGTAATTTGGTGGCAGCGAATTGCGAAGCTACGCTTTGTGACGCGTGAGAACTCGTCACACTCTTCGTGTTTCGGCAACAGACGCGTGCTGTGGAGTGTTGTGCCCTGCAAAACCGGCAGCCGAAAATGGTGACTATCCAGATAGTCACCATGAACGTTGGGTGTTGCGACCAGGTAGCACGTCCTGTCTCGCCCGTGCAGTACATATGTCTGAAAGACCCAGCAACACAGGTAGTATATTTCGTAAGATCTATGTACTATTCTTCTTCACTGTGTCGGCTTTCCGTCCCAAGGTCCCACGTCTTCCGTTCTTTTCCTTGAGCATCGCACAACCTTTCGTTCGCGATCCAGCCAGGTGCTCGGTATTACCCTCCGTCCTTTAGTCCTACCCCTGCCTTCTCTATTCTAACTCCTTTTCCGAATACCTCCTATCACCTACGCTGTCATTCCATCCTCAACGTCATGGCTCATAGCCACAACAACCACGAGTCGGCACATGACCACAAGCATAGTCGCTTCCAGGTCAGCCGAAAGACACGTCTTAGAGCTGTCATAGCCATATCCTTCTGCTTCTTCGCGGCTGAAATATCCGTGGGCTTCTACACCAAATCATTGGCTCTCGTTGCTGATGCATTCCACTATGTGCGTCCTGCATCACCTCGTATACCCGTGGTGCACTTTCTTTGCGGCCAAGCACTAACATCTATTGTAGCTGAATGACCTCATCGGCTTCATCGTGGCCTTAGTGGCCGTTCAGGTGACGGACCGCAAGACCTCGCCTCCGGATCTCTCCTTCGGTTGGGCGCGGGCTTCACTTCTCGGAGCCTTCTTCAACGGATCTTTCTTGTTTGCCTTGGGAATCAGCATTGCTCTCCAATCGATCGAACGCTTTATCTCCATCGAGCGAGTCGAAAATCCCAAGCTAGTCTTGATTATAGGATGCGTTGGATTGTTTCTCAATATCATCAGCGCGTTATTCCTACATGAGCATGATCACGACCATGGCTCTGCGGGTAACAGCGATGAAGAGAGCATGTCAACTACACCCACACATGAGAACCACCTGCATTTGATCGCAAAGCCAAAAAGGCATGGCATGGATCTGGGTATCCTTGGTGTTCTCATTCATGTTATTGGCGACGCTATCAACAACATCGGTGTCATCATCTCAGCAGTGATTATTTGGTTTGTCAAATCACCCAACCGTTTCTATGTCGATCCAGCAGTTAGCATGTGGATCGCCATCATGATTCTGCTCACCGCCATTCCCCTCACAAAACGCAGCGGCAAGATCTTGCTCCAATCTGCTCCTTTGGGCGTCAAGATTGAGGGTGTCAAGCACGACCTGGAGGCCATACCTGGTGTGCTGAGTGTGCACGAACTCCACGTCTGGCGCCTGGACCAGAAGAAGGCTGTGGCGTCTGCACATATCGTGGTCACTGACCCAGATATCGCGAGTTTCATGAAGAAGGCCAAGGTCTTTTCTGAATGTCTACATGCATATGGCATTCACTCAGCAACGCTCCAACCTGAGCTTGCTGTCCCTCCTGAAGAGCTCAATGGTGTCAAGAGTACGGGTGAGGAGGCAGCTTCAGGTGCCACCAGCGGTACAAACACAGCACGGACAAGTACTGAAAAGTGTGGCGTGCCCTGTGGTGTAATTTGCGAAGAGTTGAAATGCTGTAACTAAGCTCCCAATTTGAAGTAATAGCGGAAGCAGTTCCGCGGTCCCTGCATAAGCTTATTGAGAGTGGCGTCAGATTACCCCACCATGACCACTATGGGCGTGCCATAGTTGAGCACCAGCTTCATAGCATTTAACAATAAGCATAACAATTCGTAGACAAAAGGCTGAAGACTCTCTTGTTTATCCCCTTTTCTCTAATAGCCACTACCCGTCTTTCCATCCAAACTTCATCAGTTGATCCCGTTGCTGCAGAATGTCGGGCAAAGAAATCCACAAGTACGGAACCGACGATGGCTGGCATGGTGTCATAAAAGAGGGCGGTGAATTCCCACCAGAGAAAGACAGATACCATCTCTATATTGGTAAGCCGAACCAACACTGCATACCGCGTCAGTAAGGCAAGTATGCTGAAGTATTCTCAGGCCTCTTCTGTCCTTTTGCCCACCGTCCAAACTTGGTCCGACATCTCAAGCACCTCCAAACCTACCTCCCTGTTTCTATTGTGCGCCCTTATCCGAAAGGTGAACCAGGCTGGCGTTTCGATGCTACTTACCCTAATGCAACTCCCGACCACCTCTTCAACAGCCAGTTCATGCACCAGCTCTACTTTCGCGACGATCCAGCGTACAAAGGGAAGTACAGCGTTCCCCTCCTTTGGGATAAGAAGAGTAATCGGATCGTAAACAACGAAAGTGCTGAAATGTTGAAATGGCTGCCTAGTGCGTTCAACTCTGTGCAAGAGAACAGTGACAAGGCAAAGGAATTGGATTTCTACCCTCAAGAACTCCGCCAAAAGATTGACGACATAAGCCCCTGGCTCCAGTCCTTGATCTGCGCGGGAGTCTACAAAGCTGGTTTCGCACCGACCCAAGAGGGCTACGAGAAAGGCGTTATTCCTCTGTTCGCAGCACTGAACCAGCTAGAAGAACTAGTACACAGTAATGGCGGCCCGTATATCCTCGGTACCAAGCTCACCGAACTCGATGTCCTGGCTTATCCGACGATAGTCCGCTTCGACACTGTTTACTCGCAGCACTTCAAAACCAATTTGGGGTCGATACGACATGACTACCCTGTGCTCAACAACTGGCTGAAAAACTTATATCACAACGTGGAGGCATTCAAGGAAAGTACAGACTTTAAGCATATAAAGGAGAATGTAAGTTTGGTCGTGAAGCTGAGTAGTGGGTGGTGGCTGACATGGATTGCACATTTGTAGTATACCAAGAGTCACAAGGATATCAATCCGCTGAGTATCACGCCGCTGGGGCCTTATCCGGATGTGGAAGAAGGTTACGAGGAGGACTGGGGTAAATTACAGCCCGGGAAGGTAGCGCACCCGAGAGTGTTAGAGGCGCAGAGCAAGTTGTGAAGAGAAGGCGACAGGAATAACGTTGAATGATGCTTGTAAGGCAAAGACTACAACAGTACACAAGAGGAAACACCTGTGGTAATGTTTCATGTTCCATTCGCATCTAAATTTTTGGGTCATTCCAATGCCCATTATCCATAATGTACATACTACACATCGCCGACGGAGCATATCGTCTACCCGTACATGGCTCACCTAGTTTCTCTTCTCAGAGTCCGCCATTCTACTGCGTCTTCTTTGCGCTCTTCTCGCTAGGCGCGCTGTACAGCCAGACGGCAACAAAGGCCAACCAACCCAACACGGTGACCCAGATGCCTCCGATCCAGACCCACGCACCGCTGATCTCGAAACTCCTTGGGTACTCGTCGTGCGCAAAGTGCCTGACGGTCACCTGCCTCTTCTCGTCGATGTTGGTGACGAAGGGGCGGCGATAGTTGACGCGGAAGTTGAAAATTCCGTGCTGGTCGGGTGTCCTGAATGCGACGCCGAAAATGGTTGCATTCGCGGTTTGTGCGATCGGGGAGAGGTTCAGGCGCTGGAAGGGAGAAAGCATGCTGAACTCAAGCTGGATGTTGTCCTTGGAGGAGGGGACGAAGGGAGCGAGGTGGTCGTTGGTGTACTCGGAGATCTCGACTTGGAAGTGCTGTGCAGTTTAGTAAAAGCTATGCAATAACAATTGACATGAACTTACGACATCGGACTTGATGCGGTAGATGGTGGGGTTGTTCTCGGGGATTGCAACGCTGGTGTTCAACTTCTTGCTCGCACCCTCGTCCTGGTAGTGGAGGAGCTTGCCAACCTTCAAGACGCCCGTCTCCTTGAATGTCCAAGCAGAAAGCTTCTGCGCAAAATCGCGGTTACCAGTGGTAACGGCCTTGTCGCCCAGCTTGGCCTTCTCTGCAAACCACTTGTTCTGAAGCATCTCGGCTGAACCGACAACAGCCAGGCGCGCAGCGTTGTTCGCTTGCATGGCAGAGACGAGGTTCAGTTGTCCACCAACCGCAAAAGGATCCTCAACGCCATCGGCCTCGTCCTTGGGGTTGTAGCTGTAGGCGGTGGCTGGGGCGCGTAGGACAGGCGACGTGAGCGGTGACTCGTTTCCAAGAGCTTGACCGACAGCGCGTGGCACAGCAATGTAGCCCTCGCCAGCGAAGTAGTTCTTTACGTCTGACCTGAGCGCGTTCGGGAACGGAAGGAGCAGTACGTCGTGCTGTTCCTGTGCGGATGACGAGTCGTAGTTGAAATGGTCGACGACCAATGCGCCCTTGTCGGCTGGGATGTTGATGTCGAGTTCGGCGAGCATAGCCTGGACGGCCGTAGGTGTAGCGTGTTCGCTCGAGAGGGCGACGAGGATGTTTCCATCCTTCTTCATGAATTCCAGGAAGTTGTTCGCTGTGAGGGCAGGGCCGAGGCCTTTGGACTTGCCAGGCAGGAGGAGGACATGGTCGTATGCTCGTTCGCCGTGCTTCAGTAATGACAACTTGCTCTCTTTGGGCGATTCTACAGACGTGGTAAATCCTCGGGCTGTACGTACTTGTCAGCACTGGTCCTCACTGCGATTAGGTTCAATTGAGCATCATCCGCAGCGCAAGGCCAAGTTGCATGTTCAATTGATCCGCATCGTTACCAATACCCCG